TCTCTCTCTCTTTTTTTAATTAAATCTAGCCTCCCCGCCCCCCTTTTTTTTTTTTTTTTTTTTTTTGTATACCTCTAAACTTATTGAGGAGACAGGGCTAGCTTTCCTGCAGGATGTTTTACCTTCTAAATGTATCTGGTTGCTCCCATACTTAACTTGTATACCTTGTATTTCCTATTAACTAAAAGAAAAATCTTGAGGCCTGAGATTTTTAAGTTAAACGTTTTTGGTTGGGCTATGCGATAGGTTATGTACTTTTTATTTTAACTCGTCAAGAGACACTGTATCTGCAGAGAACAGACTGACAGCTTTCAGGAGAAGTAAGGGCTGAGTGAGATAGGTGAGGTACTAAGCAAAGAAAAAAAAGGGAGATTCATGGACACGGACAGTATGGTGATTGCTAGAGGAAAGTGGGGTGGAGGGAAGAGAAAGTAGGGGTAGGGGAATAAAAGGTGATGGAAGGAGATTCAACTTGAGGTGCTGAATACACAATACAATATACAGATGTATTGTAGAATTATATACCTAAAACATGTATACTTTTATTAACCAATGTCACTGCAATAAATTCAATTAAAAAGAAAAAAAGAAACTATCTCGATGAGTCACCATTAATGAGACTGAATTTGACCACTGAATTAGGGTAATGACCATTCGATCCTTCACTGAAAGTTTCATCTTTCTTTTATGACTAGAAAACAATACATTTAGTATTACTTTGCACAGTATGAATCTATGTCCCTATCAAACATATACCTTACTCTAATATTTACTTAAATTAGTAATTTAATGAGGGAGCCCATAATTTTTTTATTTAAATTTTTTTTCTACTTCATTAGCCACAATTTTTCTATAGGATTTTTTAACATATGAGGCTATTGGTTTGGTCGTCTTAATTCTCATACCTCTACTAGTGGGGAAAGGGACCTTTCGGGCTGATTCCTGCCCTGTGTCTTTTTGCTATTCTAGTTTTCTAAATCATGGAAATGTTTAAACATAAAAGTATAGAGAAAAATACAGTTAACCTCCAAGGTATCTTTCAGCTTCAGTGATTATCAATATATTTCCAATCTTCTTTTATTTGACCTCTTCTACTTTTTTTGATTTCTGGATTATGATTCCATTAATATTTGAAAAGTTTTCTGTTATGGCAAGGCCCCAGACCTGGAATCATCCATTTCTCTAAGAAGCCCTGATTGCTTTGATTGAGGAATGGCATCAGATAAAATCTGGGCATAAAAGTTATTGAAAGTTTTTAACTTTGATTTTTCTTTACTTTCCCTCGTGTGCCTCATCATAATGGTAGTGTGGAGAATGGGCACTTTTCAAAGATGCGACAAAAAAAAATTTCTATTTCTATTTTAATTGGTCTACATTTCAGGTATAGCTGACAAATGATTCAGATTTTGGCAGGTGTTTTTAATAAAGGACCTTTTCCTGAAATAAACACCGTTTATTATCACTTTACCTATACTACAATATAAGGAAATTCTCAATGTATAAATATATGACTTCTGAAGATTTGCTTATGCCACACTGTGTTTTCTTTTTTTGTGTGTTTTTTATCATTCAGCACATTTTCTCATACTAATAATGCAGATGATAAAATGTTATTGTATTCCAGCTCTTAAAATCTGTATGATTTTCAAGATTAAACCCATACCTTTGCCTCCTGATGCACTGATGAAATAAAATGTATAGAAAATAAGAAGTGAAGAGGCCAATAACAATAAATAGGAAGACTCCCCAAGAGTAATAATTGAACAGATTTCGGGATCTCTTTTTGAGTATAAGAAGGCACAAGTAGCCGAAACCGGTTTGGCCCAGTGGATGGAGTGTCGGCCTGTGGACTGAAAGATCCTAGGTTCGATTCCGCATGTACCTTGGTTGCGGGCACATCCCCAGTGAGAGGTGTGCAAGAGACAGCTGATCGATGATTCTCTCATCGATGTTTCTGGCTCTCTATCCCTCTCTTCCTCTCTGTAAAAAAAAAAAAAAAAAAATCAATAAAATATAAAAATTAAAAAAAAGAAGGCACAAGTATATCCCTCACCTCTCATACCTCTCTCATACCTCCCATACCTCTCTCACCCCTTGCACTTGGACTACAGATAGCTGGCATGAACCCATGCAAAACACCAGACAGATTTTTTTAGAGAAATTGTACTAAGGCTTCTGCATACAAGTTATGTCCCCAGAACAAAGGAAAAAGCCATCTTTATTCTGGCATTTAGAGGGCCTGCTGGCTCCCCACCTACACATCCTAAAGGAACACTATACCTAGCCCACACAGAGGCCCCCATAGGAGAGCCATTTAGGAAAAAAAAAAAAAACACACAGACTGTCTTGTCAGTAACAAAGAAAAATCTATGTTGGCTAATGAGTCATTTAGGCCTAAATATGAATGAGTAACCAGAGATCACCAGGCATGTGAGGAAAACTAATGGCATGAAAGAGAGACTAAAATAATCAGGAAAATGCCACAAGAGAAAATAGAGGTAACCAGAGAGAACTTTATAAAAGAGAAACTAAGATACTCAACGCTACAAGAAGATTCTTTGGTTAAACAAGAATAAGAGGACACCAGTTTTCAGATTGAAAGGACACACCAAGTTCTGAAATAGTGATGCAGACATAATACTGTGACACACGAACCTGCACAATTCCTAGGATAAGAGGTCCAGAGAAGAATCATGTAAAAAGTGACAACTATCAGTCTGAAATCAAACTTCTCATCAGTAACCTTTAATGGTTTAAGACAGTAAAATATTGCCTATATTTGGAAGAAAATGCTATGCAACCAGGGATTTTATATTCTGCCAAACTGTTCATGAAAGGTGAGAGGAGGCCGAAACCGGTTTGGCTCAGTGGTAGAGCATCGGTCTGCGGACTGAAAGGTCTCAGGTTCGATTCCGGTCAAGGGCATGTACCTTGGCTGCGGGCACATCCCCAGTAGGGAGTTTGCAAGAGGCAGCTGGTCGATGTTTCTCTCTCATCGACGTTTCTAGCTCTCTATCTCTCTCCCTTCCTCTCTGTAAAAAAATCAATAAAATATATTTTTAAAAAAAAGAAAGATAGAAAGGTGAGAGGAGAATAAAGTTGTTTTTAGACAGGCAAGGGCTCAAAGTTAACTTCTCTTGGAATTAATGAAATAAAGTTAACTTCTCTTGGAATTAATGAAATAAATGGGGTGCATATTCACCATCAATCTTCTTGTAAAACAGAAATTCATTGTGTAATTTTCCATTAAACATTTTCATTTGTTTTGTTTGTTTGTTTGTTTGTTTTAATCTCATTGGTGCCAAACAAGTTTATTCAGAGAAAAAAGGGAAGGAGGATTGCTAACAATAAAATAAGTAATTGTAGATTTATACCACAAAATAAATGGCAGAGCTACCATAGTAAACAGCAATGAGACTACTCCCTTTACTCAGCAGGTTGAAATATATAAGATATTTCAACCTGCTGAGTTGAATATGCACATAAATAACTCATAATTTTTCTTTTTTTAAAATATATTTTATTGATTTTTTACAGAGAGGAAGGGAGAGAGATAGATAGAAACGTCGATGAGAGAGAAACATCGAACAGCTGCCTCTTGCACACCCCTTACCGGGGATGTGCCCACAACCAAGGCACATGCCCTTGACCGGAATCAAACCCGGGACCTTTCAGTCCACAGACCGACGCTCTACCACTGAGCCAAACCGGTTTCGGCAATAACTCATAATTTTTCATATTTCTCAATGGCCTCAGTAACAGGCAACCTGGGACCACTTACATGTAATCACAATTGGCTGGTACACAATATGACCAGCAGGGAAAACAGCATCAAATTCTTCTCCCAGCATGACTGGAATGACATGATCTGGCTTATATTCAAAAGCATCGTTCTGACTGCTGTGTTGGGGATGGAATAGTAGAGCAGGGATAGAAGTACAGAGACCAGGTTGGACATCATTGCGGTATGTCCTCATTACAGTGGCTCAAGTTTGGTGGTGATAGTAGTAACAGAAAGAGGTCAGATTCTGGACATAATTTGAAGGTAGAGCCAATAGTATTTCCTGCCTGATTGGATATGGGGTGAGCAACAAAGGAATCAAGATTTCTGGTCTGAACAGTAAAAAATGAGAACAGATTGAAGGAAAAGATTAGGAGTTAAGTTTTGGATGTTATATTTCAGAAGTCTTTTTGATCTCCAAGTAAAGATATCAGTTGTTAGGTTGAAACTTAGATATATATGTCTGCAGTTCTGAAGAAAGGACTGGACTGGAGATAGAATTTTGGGAATGTATGAATTGTATTTAAAGCTATGGAATTGGGTAGGATCTCCTAGAAGTGAGTAGAGAGAAAGAAGAGGTCTGAGGACTGGGACCCTCTGTCACTCCCAACATTTCAGTTTCAGGGAGATGAGAAGGGATGACTGAAGATGACTGAGGAGCAGCCACTGGGGTATAAGGAGAACCAAGACCGAATGGTACCCTAGAAGCCAAGGAATCATTGACTGTTTTATACTGGGAAAGGGCCAAGTAGGATGAGCACTAAAAATTCGCTGTTGGATTTGGCCACATGGATGTTGGCGTTTACCTTATAAGACCTGTTATGTGTTTTAAATAGCTAGTAAGATGTTAAGATAAAAATATGTGTTAAGTTGTTTGGGCCCAACTACTTAATAAATGGAACTATTAGATATTTCTTTGGGCCTATAGGCTTTGTGAAAAAATTACTGTGATACAAATGGTGCTACGAACAGAAAGTTTGAGAATCTCTGCTTTAGAGGCTTGTGTCAAGTGAGCATTTTAAGAAGGGAAAACACCTCTTGCCTTTTCTTTGTCATGCCAAAAACGTTGAGTTCATATTTGTAAATCTGATTAGATTACATCCAATTATTTCCTTAATGTAATTCAACATAAAAAAATAAAGCCTTATCTTGTGAAATATCAGTAGTAATACATCTTTGCATGAATTTTTCTTCTTGATTCCATAGGTATGGTCTGAATATGCGTTGCTTGGCAGCTCGGGTCAACTATAAGACTTTGATTATCATCTGCGCACTCTTCACTTTGGTCACAGTACTTTTGTGGAATAAGTGTTCCAGCGACAAAGCGATCCAGTTTCCACGGCACCTGGGTAGTGGCTTCAGAGGGGATGGATTAGAAAAAAGAGCAGCAGCATCTGAGAGTAACAACTATGTGAACCATCTAGCCAAACAGTCCGAGGAGGCATTTCTCCAGGAACAGCAGAAAGCACCCCCTGTCGCCGGGGGCTTCAATAGCAATGGGGGGAGCAAAGTGTTAGGACTCAAATATGAAGAAATTGACTGTCTCATAAATGATGACCACACAATTAAAGGGAGAAGAGAGGGGAATGAAGTCTTTCTTCCATTCAGTTGGATAGAGAAATATTTTGATGTCTATGGAAAGGTAGTTCAGTATGACGGCTATGATCGGTTTGAATTCTCTCATAGCTATTCCAAAGTCTATGCACAAAGAGCTCCTTATCATCCTGATGGTGTGTTTATGTCCTTTGAAGGCTACAACGTGGAAGTCCGAGACAGAGTCAAGTGCATAAGTGGGGTAGAAGGTTGGTATCTCTGCTCTACTGCGCTTTTCTATCCTGATTGTGTTGGGGAATAAGATACTATAGGTATTAATTATAAAGCAAGTACATACATAATTTACCATCAAGAGACCTTTCATCACTCTGACTTAGCAGAGAAGAACAATTTATTCTCAACCCAGGGCAACTTCCTGTTGGTGTGACTCACGAGCTATAATAAGATCATACCTGATCAAATAGGATTATTCCATTAATCTGCCTCTGAATAAAAAATTCTCACCAGTAAGGCCAAGGCACGGGATCTTCAGAAATTTTGTGTTAAAATATGCATTTATTTTCCTACGAGAGGAGATTGTGAAGAAACAGACCATTCAGTGGAGCCATCAATGTCCCAAATACAGTCTTGTTACCAGATTAGCCAGGCATCATCCCTGGGTGGAGGTTTAAAGTCCTCAGACCTAGACAATCCATAGATACCATTTTCTCTGAACTTATCCTGAACTCCTATAGTCTATTATATATTGTCTTTCAAATTCGGAGCAGTGGGGGTTTCTTATGATTATATTAGTATCTAATTTGAACTTGTATTTCAAACCTAGAATTGATCAGAAGACAAAATTGAATTTGACTTTTCATTTACTTATGATTCACTATAGAAGTTTTCAGTTCTATATACTAAGCTTAAGAATTTTTTTTTAATCTTTTCCTTTTATGCTTAGAAAGTCATTTGCCATACCATAATCAACTGTTCCTCTGTATTTTCTCTAATAGTTTTATGGTTTTTGTTTTTTTTACATTTAACTTTTTTAATTCAGCTAAGTTGGTTAATACTTTGGTAAATGGTAAAAGGGTAAGGTCTATCTTTAGACTTTTTTCCTAACATCTATTAAATAATCTCCTCTTTCTCCACCATTTCATGATGTTAGCTTTATCATTATACTAAAGTATTTTGAATACCAGAGTATGTTTCTGGCCTAGTATTCCATCGATCAGTTCTCATGCCAGTTGTATATTATAGTTATCAACCATCTTTAATGAGACTATATAAGCTTTTATTTAACGAAATGAAAATAATTCTGTTTGAATTTTAGAAAAAAATATCTCCCCTTGGAGAAGGAATTCAGAAGTTAAAAAGCTTACTCGTAATTTAGGTTTCTTTACCTCTGAGGCCCATAGTTTCTTAAACTGTGTTGAAACTATATCAGAGCACATATAGTTTTATAGGTTCCCAGTTTCTGCTGGGACTAGAACTACATACAGATAAGGACTTTATGTCTCAACACATACCCCATAATGCAACAATACAATAGTCTGTGCAATGTGGTGTGATTGTATTTCCCATGTAGGGAATTACTAAAATAAAGTATAGACACCAAGCATGTATAACTATTCCTTAGAACTTTATAAGAGAATAATCTATTAATAACTTCGAGAATCTGTTTAAACATACAACTTTAATTCATTTTTAAAAATACTCCTGTTTCAAGAATTACCTGTTGACATGAAAAAGCTTCTCATACTTTTAAGTTGCCTAATCTTAACTAGGTTCTTACGCAAATGCTTTAACCATCAGATTATATACTTATGAGACCACATCTTGATATTGGAGGAGAGTGAGTATGTAATAAACTTGATTGTTAAGTATAAATGTTTAAGGAAATTTCAAGAGTGACACTCTAGAATAAAACTATGATAACATTATCTACATGTCCTTAAGTTGCACAAAACTTGAATGTTTGAAGCAGGATTATAAAACATAACATCCATAGCTATAAGCAGAAGTTCCACTCATAAAAAGTCAGTTTAACAGGTAATCTAAACATTACATTGCTGCCTGTCAACAAATAATAAATTCGAGTAAATGAATGCTTAATTTTGTTTTTCCTATCTGGTTAATTTGGGTACTATTTTTTACTAAATATGAAAACTATATGAGGAAACTCAAATTTTGCTGCTAACTGTATATCCCCAGAAGTAAAACAGTGAAGAGTAGTGTTCAAACAAACTTATAAATGTATGGACATGGTTATTTTGTTTCTCTACGTTATAGGTGTACCTTTATCTACACAATGGGGACCTCAAGGCTATTTCTACCCGATCCAGATTGCACAGTATGGGTTAAGTCATTATAGCAAGAATCTAACTGAGAAACCTCCTCATATAGAAGTATATGAAACAGCAGAAGATAGAGACAAAGCCAACAAGCCCAATGACTGGACCGTACCAAAGGGCTGCTTTATGGCTAGTGTGGCTGATAAGTCTAGATTCACCAATGTTAAACAGTTCATTGCTCCAGGTAAGAGATGTATTATGTGACTGCTAATTTCATGTTGATTTATAGCATTTGATACTTTTTATTTTTTTTATTTTATTTTTTTATATATATATGTTATTGATTTTTACAGAGAGGAAGAGAGAGGGATAGAGAGTTAGAAACATTGATAAGAGAGAATCATTGATCAGCTGCCTCTGCACACTCCATACCGGGGATGTGCCCACAACCAAGGTACATGCCCTTGACCGGAATTGAACCTGGGACCTTTCAGTCCACAGGCCAACACTCTATCCACTGAGCCAAACCGGTTTCGGCGCATCTGATACTCTTTAAATTGTTTTGAAAAAGCCACACATTATACATGTTATACATATAAAGAAACAAATGGTGTCACTAAAGTAAAGTCCCTAAAAAGGAACAGCTAAAAAACTCAAGGTTATAAAAGGCATATCTTCAGGGCGAAGAGCCAAGCCCTAGATTGAATATTAAGATCCAGGTTACTGCATGGTGTGCATCTCCTGGTGTGCATCAAAAAGATGAAGATTTTTTTTTTGTATATTTCAGTATTTCGGTACAATATTCTTTAATTTTTAAACTATTTTGCATTAAGATAGAAGTTTTCCCTTATAGAAAGAACCATCTTTCCTTTGCATATTTTTACCAGTAGCTATTAAGTTTTTTCAAGATAAGACAGCATTACCAACTAGGCCTGCTTCCCATATTGAATTTTGTTAATGTACTAAATTGTCTCAAATTTCATATAAAACCATTTTATTAATAAAATCATTTATAAAATCAAATTAACTTTATGCAACATTTTCCCTTTTACTAAGACAGTCTCATTAATTAGAATGTAATGCATTTTTCTCCACTAATCAATATCAATGATAATTAATGAGTCCATTACTTAAAAAGACAATGAAATAATTTTAGTTAGCACCTCAGGCTTTTCTTCTCTATAGGGAAATGTTGTCAAAAATAGAACTCATTCCTCCTTCCCACCAACCTTGCAGTCAGTAAATAGAAAGAGAAAAGGTTATAAGCCCTCTTCTGTATTCTCTCCTTGTCCTTTATTGATGACTGTGTAATTCACAGACCTTGAAAGCCACAATACAAATCTACTCATTCTGGATGGCCTTAAGTAATGGATTTATGAGTGCTTAATGCAGTACAAATAATGGGTGACCTTTCATTTTTATTCTGTGACTAGGACTTCTTTTCTCCTGTGGTATTCTGTGATATTCCAGGACATAGGACATCTTTGCTTATTGTAAAACAGCAGGCTTGCTGGTTGAGAGAGTATGTGGAAATGTTTAAGGATATTTAGCTTGTGGTACCTAAGAGGTAATTTGTTGCAGCAGGAAACACTTGGACAAAGCAAAAGGATATTTGGTTTGGGTGCACCAAAGGGGCTTATTTTTGCTCTAATTATAAAATGTTGTCTACATTAGGGTGGCAAACAGCAGCCCTCTTCTTGATCTCTTTAAATGCTGGTTTCTAGAACAATCTTTTGAACTCTAACCCATTTAGAGCTATAGATTTCATGGCCCACTTTTGGATGCCCTGGATAATACAAAGAAAGGTCCCCTCATGCGAAATGAGGAACCCTCACTTTAGTCCTTCTTTCTTCAGCCAGTAGCTGACGATATAACTACTTCCTAAGGTGGTTTTAAGCATGTGGAGAAGAGAACTCAGTGACATACCTCTGCAAGTAGGACAGAAGCTACTCACAGTTGGAACTCCCTGTTGATGGAAGTGCGCTAGCTGGTGATGGAGAGCTTGTTTTGATATCCTTGATGTGCCTGATGATGCACTCAATATAAATGTTGGAGGGAGAGTGAGTGGAGTTACATGGGGGTTGTTGCTCAGAGCAGGAGAAAGAAATCCCGGAGGTGAATCTGTTTATTAAGGCAGTAGTATAGGAGATGAGGCTTTTTAGAGGATATAAACCTCCTGGGAGATAAATTCAGAGAAAAAATTGGGACTTGTGCATAAAAGCATAGGTCTAAGTGAGATGAGGCTCTAGAGAACCAACTCCTGGGTACTGTTGGCCTTTTATTTTTTATATTTTGGCCTTGAATTATTTTGCCCTGAAAGGGGACAAAATCATCTAGCAGAAAGAATTATGACATGCATCTGTAGCATATTTCTTTCTTGTCTTACATGCTGAATAATATTTTGTTCCTCTTCCAGATTTTAAGATGGAATGAACTAAAAACATTGTACCTGTCCTGCTCTATTAAGTTAAAATAGTCTTTCTTTCCCAAAGCACTCTCTTATTTCATTTCCATGGTATCCCTTTCCCTCTCTCGGTAGCATTCTCTCTCAGGCTTCTTGTGAGCTTCTCTTCTTCTCCCTCACCCTTATCGCTTAGGGGCCCTGGAGATTGTGAGTAGGGCCTCTTCTCACTCCACATAGTGAAACTGTTGATTAAATGAATGAGTCCTAACAGTTTGTGTGCTAGGTGAAAATATTGATTTAAAGGCTACTCTTAAATGTTTGTTATTCTTTGTTGCCTAATGTACATGTGAACACATACTAACAATAGACACTTGTAGAGACTCCTTGGAATAACTGCTCAAAGAGAAGAGATTGTGGATTTCAAGCAATTAGGAAAATTTTCTATCAGTAGATTTAAAGCGCAATAGTTGCCACACCCTAGTCAGTTCCATTTTCTATCATTCAGATCCTTCTCAGTTCATCTGTGAAACGGAATTAAAAATTATCTCATAAAATTGTTGTGAAGATTATGATTGTTGGTAGATTGATTTAAATTGGAGATTGTGACTTCTCTATGTGGTGGTTGTAGATTTTAGGAAAATTATGTGGTGGTGTTAGGTTTTAGGAAAGTTAATAGTGGGTTTTTTTTTAAAGGTTACATCCATCCCATGACATTATTCATTACTGAGTTCTTTGAACTAATCTGTTATATTGAGTCATAAGGTGATTGACTAAACCATATAATTTCACTGGAATTTTATATATAAAGTAAAAATCAGAATATGATTCTGGGAGAAAAAATGGGTACTTCGTTAGCTTCCTCCTATTTGGACTTCTTTAGATGGGCCATTGTTACCCACTTTGGTGAAAATGGATGTCATAATTAATACTCTTGTCTGATTAATGAGGCATTACCCTAAGAATTAAAAAAATAAGTAGCACTCAAGATAGTCTACTTTGCTAAATATAATTTAATCTTGAGTGATTCATAAGTCAACAGAATCCTATAGTGGTCCAGGGATATACTGAGCATCAGAGTCCATTTTACTATGATGCAGAAAAATGCTAGTTAAGAGAGAGATTGCATGTTGACATTTTTCAGGTTAAATTGATTTCCAGGTTAAATTGTGTTAGAAGTATACTTTTGAAATCACTTTTTTTAAAAATCACTCAAAGTCTATCAAGTTGTCCCCATTCTTAATTCAGTTTCCATAATTATCTATCAAATGAAGTAATTAAGAGCCTTGGATAAATTATATTTACATTGGTAAACTCCGCTGTTGGGAGAGTTAACAATCAACTCAACATGCTAATACTCACCAAACTACTCAAAGGGCATACATTATGCACTGTCATCAGCTCACATTTCTAATTTTTGCTCCCAGTGAAAGAGTTCCTCAAGGACTCCTCAAAGCAGATCTGATTCCGTGGCTATATTTAAGAGAAATAACTCACTGATTATTCTCATGAGAATGCCACTTCCAATATCATTTCTTTCTCACAGTCTTTGAACTTGGGTCTAAGAATCCTGGTTTCTAGTTCCTACTCCACTACTTATCATTTGGTTTTAGGCAAACCTTTTAACCTTGCAAAGCCTTCATCTTTTCATCTCTAAAATGGTAATTCCTAGAGAATTTGAATTTTGTCGTGTTTGGGTTTGTTCATTCCCGTGAATGATGGTACAGTTGGGTGAGCTTTTCTGTTATGGTACCCAAACTCACCATTTGGTCCTCTTTAATCTTTGAGGGTTTCAATAAAAATATTCACTCAAAAAATAAATAAATAAATAAAAAATAATAATAAAATGGTAATTCCTGCTCAGGAGATGGTATTGAGAGCCTCAGTAGATTATTGTAAGGATCAAAAGAGATAATACCTGTGAATGTGTTTTGAATATTTAAGCTCTATAAAGATCAAGATATTTACATTTATCTTTAATATTATAAAATTTGTATGATATTTTCTGTTGTTGTTTTTCTTGTTTTTGCTGCTGCTACAGTCTGATTTAATGTGCTCAGTTTCTTTGCTTGATAGATCTAGCCCAGCAGTACACAGAAAGTCATCTTTCTGGGAGTCAGCCATCATTGCACTAAATATGCAGGAGAAATTTCCTCTTTGATAATATGCCAAATTAAATAATTTTATAGTTTATCAGTTTCTGAAGCCAGTGGCTTCAGAATAATAATAATAATAATCACTGTCTTTTTTTACTATAGTCCAAGCCAATATCTTTTTAAAAATATATACACATACATATACATATACATATACATATATATACATATATGTTAATTTCAGAGAGAGGGTGAGAGAGATAGAAACAATAGCAATGAGAGAGAATCATCAAATGACTGCCTCCTGCATAACCACACGGGATCAAACCCACAATCCAGGCATGTATCTTGACCTGGAATCGAACTGTGACTTCCAGGCCCATTGGTTGACGCTCAATCACTTAGCAGCACCCAGCGGGCCACACCACTATCTTTTTTAAATCCGCACAATTACTTTGCAGAGTAATATTATCTCTATTTAACAGGTGAAGAAACTGAGACTCTTAAGGTGTATGTATTGAACATCTCAAAGCTAGTAAGTGATAGAATAAGAGTTTATAAAAGGCTGGTTTTTGTTTGTTTGTTTTAACTCCAAAACCTGTGCTTCTCCTTCTACCTCCCTCAGTTTTTGTTGACAAATCAGCCTATTATTCCTTAACTATCAGAAATTTTATTCACAATTCCAGCAAATATCTGAAAACAACCTATCATTTTTAATATCAAATGAGAGATCAGTAATTGAGAGCCAGACTAGACAACCTGGGTTCAGCTAGCTTTTGACTGTTTTTTTTCTTTTTCAGAACGAGTATATCAATAGTCACTAATTATTGATCAGCTGGAGTTTGAAAGGCAGTTTGATCAAAAATATCTTAGCCATTGCTCTTATGTTATGTAACCATCTAATGTTAACCACACAGGCCAAAAGATAAGAGCTTTAGCCAGGTGCTCACAGCCATCATGGACTCACCAATTCTATCATTTGTGGATAATTCAGTAAAAATAACAGTAACAATAATAATGATGATCTGACACAAAATACTGAAGCATTAATTCTGTATGGTCGGTGGTTGTATTACAATTAACTTTTAAATACAAAGAGGTTGCATTCTAATCAGTCTTTGTTGGTGTATTTTATTTCCTACAGAAACCAGTGAAGGTGTATCTTTGCAACTGGGGAACACAAAAGATTTTATTATTTCATTTGACCTCAAGTTCTTAACAAATGGAAGTGTGTCCGTGGTTCTAGAGACTACAGAAAAGAACCAGCTCTTCACTGTGCATTATGTCTCCAATACCCAGCTGATTGCCTTTAAAGAAAGAGACATATACTACGGCATTGGGCCCAGGACTGCATGGAGCACGGTTACCAGGGACCTGGTCACTGACCTCAGGAAAGGAGTGGGTCTCTCCAACACAAAAGCTGTCAAGCCAACCAAAATAATGCCCAAGAAGGTGGTTAGGTTAATTGCAAAAGGGAAAGGATTCCTTGATAACATTACTATCTCTACCACAGCCCACATGGCTGCATTCTTCGCTGCCAGTGACTGGCTGGTGAGGAACCAAGACGAGAAAGGTGGCTGGCCAATCATGGTGACCCGGAAGTTAGGGGAAGGGTTCAAGTCTTTAGAGCCAGGGTGGTACTCTGCCATGGCCCAAGGGCAAGCCATTTCTACATTAGTCAGGGCCTACCTATTAACAAAAGACCATGTATTCCTCAATTCAGCTTTAAGGGCAACAGCCCCTTATAAGTTTCTATCAGAGCAGCATGGAGTTAAAGCTGTGTTTATGAATAAACATGACTGGTATGAAGAGTATCCAACCACACCCAGCTCTTTTGTTTTAAATGGCTTTATGTATTCTTTAATTGGGCTGTATGACTTAAAAGAAACGGCAGGAGAAAAACTCGGGAAAGAAGCGAGGGCCCTGTACGAGCATGGCATGGAATCCCTGAAAGCCATGCTCCCCCTGTACGACACCGGCTCAGGAACCATCTACGACCTCCGGCACTTCATGCTTGGCATCGCCCCCAACCTGGCCCGCTGGGACTATCACACCACCCACATCAATCAGCTGCAGCTTCTCAGCACCATCGATGAGTCCCCCATCTTCAAAGAATTCCTCAAGAGGTGGAAAAGCTACCTGAAAGGCAGCAGGGCAAAGCACAACTAGAGCTCACAACCAAAAGCCCATTTCAGTCTCTGCTGTGCCCTGCCAGCAGCGCAGAGGCACGCGGGGAAAGGTCGGAGACCAGATTTCTGTGGATGACATCAAAGTGACACATGATCCTTAGAACCAGTCTCCTGTAATGATGGCATTCCATGGGATGGGTGTGTAGAATCATAGGTAGGTGGCGTTCAGAGCAGGAAAGCGTTTAGTCAGAGGGCTGAGCAGAGATGTTTAGCCCTGCCTTGCTTATCACTCTGTACAGTTCCACATGTAGCCCACTCCCTCTTGGTTTGGGAAAATGGTAAGTAGCTGTTACTCGCCAACTGGCTATCCCTTACCTGAAAACTTAGTATGGGGTGCTTTTAAAATGTGATTATTTATGTTTATGTTGAAAGCAGATTTTAAAAAAAAAAAAACAATAATGTGCTGTAATACAGTGAATATTTACCTGTAGCCTGAATAGTGGACTGTGTGCAACTTTTTAAAAATGATGTGTGTATTTTTTTCTATAGATTAACTTCTTGGGGACAATTGAGCATTTGTTGCTTTTGTTCAATTTGATATATATGGAGAATATTTTGAATTTCTGGTTTTCTTGATGTGTAAATTAAAACACAGTCGTGTTCAGGCTTCACAGTTATGTAATGTAAGCACAACTAAGATGAAATGTGTTGACTGCACAAGAAATTTAAAAAATATGTTTTATGAAACTTGATCTACAATCAGTAAAAGTTTGATAATCAAGTCTATCCCTCCCCTATCTCCATTGTGATTGGTTTCTTTTGTTATCTAGAATTTTCTATTTCAATTCAGACTAAATGCAAGAGGGTTTTTTTTGTTTGTTTGTTTTTGGGGGGGGGACATTTAAGGGTCATTATTTGGAAAATTTTATTATAAACAAACCTAAATTTGGAAAGGAACTAGTAATTCTGCTGAGTCCACCACCATTACACCTTTAGGATTTTTTTCCCCCTTAAGGAAAAATGCTAGATCAGATATTACATACAAGAATCACAGAAGGTTTTTTTCCTACTTAGATCATTCTTGGTCATTAACTTTTGAAACCATTGACTCTGCACATCATTGTTTTTCCTTGGCAGTTGTAATTTTAAATTATTTTAGCTGTTGGATAGAAGTGATGTTACTGCATTTATTGTACATGTAATCAGACTTTATTTGGCTTTTATATCTCACTATACCCTTATATGCCTATAGGTTTCTTAGCCCACATACCCTGGGCAGTGTCTGTTATAGGGCTTCAAGCATTAGGTCAGAACCAAAGGAGGTTGGTTTTTCTATCTTTTGTTCTAATGTCTGGCAGTACACTAAATCAGTACTATAACTTAGATTGGGAATATGAGAATATGAGACCCCACACTTTCAGGGGTCACCACAAACAGTGCAGTTTATCTGTGACCTATATTAAATGCACATCACAACTCTGTTTACCCACAGCAAAACAGTTGTGGGTTATTAGGTTTCCCCATAGCTTTTGACCTTTGTAGTTCTTCTATATTAGATGTCTCAACAAGAACATCTGGATGCCTTCATTTTTAATTTCAGTGCTCAAAAATAAACATTCTCCAATCTGGGAACCCTTTTTAAAACTTCATTGTATTTGTTATTATATTAAAACAGCCCAGACTGCCTTGTGTTTGCCTACTGGTACTTCAGACTAAGGGAATCAACAAAAACAGTATGGTACTGCTTCTGTGACAAATATCAGTGCCTTAACAATGTGTCTGTCCTTTTCCACTGAAAAAGGAAAGGCATTTTGATCTAGAAATGGCATTGCTATTTCATTGCTGTTGGTTTCACACTGCCTTCCACATTGCAACAGCAATTTGATTTTTCTTGTGATCCCAGAATCTTCTAAGAGAGTGAGTTGAACCGATAGCGGCAACATCAGTACAAACTATTGGTTCTCAAACTTCACAATGTCTCAGAACCACCTGGGAACCTACTGAAATACAGATTCCAGATATTCAGTAAATCTGCCTGTGAACCATGGTAACCTGCATTTTTAACAAGCATTCAGGCTATTCTGATGCAGGTGATGTGGGGGCATATATGGAGGAACACTGCCCAAGAACATCCATTGCACTTTTGTTCCTAAACACCTATGGCGTTTGCTAGGGTTTTTAATCATGTAAAATGTTTACTTTGCTTACTCTGTGCTTAGAGAGAATGGGGAAGATGTTTTGAAGTTTTATTTTGTTTCTTTAAATTTGTCTTTGTTTCAAGATTTTGGGTATTAGTTTACATTTATCCTGAGTTGGCTTTGATGTTAAGTTAAATCTATTGCCACTTCAGTTTTGAAACCAGCCAAAAGTTTCCGATAAAGGTCAAGTTTTACCCTTTAGCAGTTCCTGTACATTCAGGCTTCATCCAAAAACCATCCAGTGTACGTGAGCAAATACAAAAAAAATGACACACAAGCACAACTCTCGAGATGTGGCAGTCCTTTTCTTTGTCGGTGTACAAACTTCCACTGAAAGCTGCTATTCGCATCCTCCTTGTAATTGTTTTTCTTGTTTTTCCTCCATTGTACATGTGGGTTATACACCATGTGTTAAATATGCAATAAAGTGTTTACTGGATGCCCTTCTGAAGGGTAGTCCTTTGTAAAGCTGTACAGACTTTGCAGTTTAAGCACAATGTGCACATGTTAGTTTTATATACAGCAAAACTTGATTTTTTGCAGATGGAAAGGTATTTTGTTTCTATACCAAGTAAATGGATTGTGCTGAATGTAAAGCTGCTTTATAAAATTGTAAAATAAAGTTTTTATCCTAAAAGGAATGTACCTGGATATTTCTCTTTCATCTCTAATTACTCTAAGATTATTTTATCCCAGCAAGCAGATTTCTAACTATCATTTTCTGTCAGGCAACAAATGCTCATTATAATGTGTATCAGACCCTTTAAGACAATATGGGGAGGAGAATATCACATGGCCCTTAACCAGGAGGGTTAGTCTATAGGGAGTACACAGTGTCCACAAATTAGTTTCGGGGGGGGGGGGGGGAAGCTGAACTGTGTGGTCAGTCAAAAAAGGCGTTATGAGGGGATAGAGTCTAAGCAGGGCCGTCAGGCCCGGGTATCAGGTGGAAGAAGGGGGTCAGGTAACATGATCAAAACCAGGGTGCCATGCTAGCTGTGAGGATGCTTTTCCAAGCCAAGTCAGCTGATAACTGTTTCTGAGTTAGATGTATGGGAAAGTTGGCCTTTCCTCTGTTTTCTGTAGTTGTGTCTCCTGCAGAACAATAAGCATTATTTAATCCCTCCCTTCTCAGAGAGTAATAAGTAATCCAGGCTCCCAAATACATACAAAATCATAGGCTAGTGTGGCTTCATGTTATGATTCAGTGCACATTAGGGTTTTTTTTGTTACGGAGACTGCATTTATATAATGGAATTCCAATTGATCACCAATCAGCTTTTTCCAGCTGGTGGGTGCACAGATTTTGACAGGCTGCCAATCCACATTCTTGGCCTCTCTTCCTTCTCTGTCATCCTCAGTTGGGAAACAGTCATAAGGGGGCAAGTAGTTCTTGGTCTGTTTGAGGTCTCAGGCTGTTCTTGCTTTGATTTTGCTATTTGTAGCTAAACTGTGAGTGTATTAGCCATCCTTCTGTGGCACCCTGAACACATATCTATCTCCCCATCGCCCTTGGAGACAGATCCTCCATGCCGTGGAGGACTTACTCCAGTCTGTTGAGCTCTCCTTTCCTGAGAACGCCTTCTCCGTATCCTATGTGTAGGCCACTGTGTGCTATGTGACCCTGCCTCTTCTGGGCATGACTGTTAGACAGGGGTGAGTCTTCCCCAGGAACCCAGAGTGGGAATGGATAACTGACGAAGATACACAGTGAAAAAGAAGAGAATCTTGGCAGTGCTCTAAGCCCTGGGTCCAGTGCATTTCAGAAGCCAGCCGCATTTCCTCTGGTTCGTGAGATACACTCTCTTTAGGACACATTCCTCTGTGTGCTAAGTTGGCTGGATTTGATTTCTGTTGTTTATAACTAATGAACCCTAACTAATAACTGTCTCCATTATAGAGAAAAATATAATGTAAGTTCTGTATATTCCTCCAGTCTGGACACACTATTTGCTAGGGCTGCCATAACAACATACCACAGACTGGGCGGCATAAGCCACAGAAATTTATTGTCTCACCATTCCGGAGGCTGAAAGTCCGAAATCAAGGTGTCAGCAGGTTTGGTTTCTTCAAGGTCTCTTTCCTTGGGTTGCAGATGGTCACCTTCTTCCTGTGTCCTCTCTATGTTGTCTTGTCCTAATTTCTTCTTAGAGGGACATCAGTCATACTGACGTAGGGCCTCGTTTTACCTTAATTACCTCATAAAGATCCAGTCTCTAAATATAGTCACAGTCTGAGATCGTAGGAGTTGGGTTCAACATGGATTTGGGGGGACACAATTCAGCCCATAAACCATCTTCACTCTCAAGTGCACAGAAACAACTAGGCAGGGTTGCCATTCAATTTTTTGATAACCAGTTAAGGCCAAAAGGCCAAGATCCTTGGGGACCATTCGGTAGGCAGAGACTCGGGACTCAGGAGCCAGGGGTCTCTGGCTCTGCCATTGTAGCATCAGGAACTTTCTCCACTCCATGGGCTTCCCTTGCCTCATCACACAGTCTAGTAGGAGAGAACTAATGGATCTTAAACTTTTCTTTATAAAGTAACAAAAGGTAACCTCTAAGCTGAAGCGGTGGTGTTAAAATTATATATAGAAGCACCAACAACCTCTAGATTTTTATTCTTCCTACCATGTGTCATTTCCGTGAGTCCATTCTGAATATAGAACTTGAGGTGTTAAAAATACAGAGAGATACAAAGCATATAAAAATAGCAAGTTGTGAGATTTGTTTGATGACAATTTTTAAAGTCTCAAGCCTGCATTATTGTAACTTACAGACAGTTAATAATAAAGGGATAAAATATTGATATTCATCATGCCAACTCATTAAGGGTGTCAAAT